TCTCATCTTTATACAGCCTCAAAGATATTCACTGATTTTTATGGAAGTTTCACATTACCCATCTTCTCAAATATGGTTTTGGAATTTCATCCCCTCTATTATGGTATCGCCTGATCAGTAAATGCGCAAACGATTGGAATTGATTTAGAAAACATTTATTATGGGGAGGATCACGTGATGGTGCGTAAAAGGCAAACGACTTGATTACAGTTTCAAATGTCTGCCACTGAAGTACACGATGATTTGAACAGTTTGTCTTGGCAAGGCTAAGCCATTCTTAAGAACTCCGAGCTTAATGTGATCCGTACAACTCAAAACCTACGTGAAACGGTTCTAATTCGGAAACTGTTTATTGAAGCTAAGTTGTGTGAAAACATGTGAATGGTTATTTCATTGCGGTGGTTGCTGCTAGGCAAAGTTCCCCGAGTTATGGCCCAGGATAACGTTTGCTCAAATCCCAACACTATCACCTGTTTTTTCTCCACTCTCTTATATGGCAACCTTTCAGTAAAACGAAACAAAAATTTAAAAAAGCTCCAGGATTTTCATATCAGATTGGAAATATTTCACCACCATTATGTATGACGCAATGAGTAATTTTGATGTAAACACCTCATGTTATTATTGCCATTAATATTGTCTTTTCAATTGCTCTTCCCAGTTTTGTTTATACAAGGAGAACGTCCAAATTCCAGGGGATGTTGTGCTTTCAGTTAAATAATTTTGAGTAAATCAAAAATGGAAACTTCAGGATTCAGATTCACCATTCTATCCTACTATCTAGGCAAGGTTCCGTTCTATCAGTGAGATCGCATTTAGACAAATTATCCGTAAATAAAATCTATACTACCTCTGTAAAAGTTTAGTCTCCGTTTTCATGTTTCTTTGTGAATGATGAAAATCTGTAGCAGAAACCTCGATTTGGAGTTTATAAATTTAGGTATCAATGATGAATTCACAATTTATTAGCATACAAGCAAAAGAGGACACCTGATTGAAAGATCCTGATTTTCCTAATTTAAGGGCTTTTGGGTGGCAAAGTTCACAACTCGAGGTTGAGCCTATTTGCATTTTTTCCACCTCACCTGATTATGGCTATCCCTGAGTGAAGTCACGTGAGTATCAAATGAACTCCGATGCACCAGAGCTTTGCATTGGAACACATTTCCGTGCGTGAACTGATTTCGCGAGGGCTTGGACTAGCGAAACAATGCACCAATGTTATTTATTCATCTGAAAAGATATACTATAACGGGGCATTTTGTGTACAAAAATTTAGGGTGAAACGAATAACCAACAGGCTTAAGCACGATTGAATTCGCATCACGAAAACCCATATGCATCAGAGTAGAACGGTGTGAATGGGATTTTGTTCATGATAGATAGCTTCGTTATTCAGGGGTAAATTTTCACTCCAATGAAAAACCGTTCATTTTGTTATCTCGGTCTAAAATCTTTCATAGTGTGTTAGCCCATCGAATCCACTGGGATTTGAGCACTCTGACATAAAGGCTTGATAACTCGATTAGTTGTAGTAAAAAGCACAATTGCCACTAAATTCGCCTCAACAGTAATTTGTTGGAGTTGCCCTTTAGCCTGATCGAGCATCATATACCGTTATAAATTAATGAAAAATGCAAGGGTTTTTTCATCACCAAAGTATTCAACAATCAATTTAAACGAGATTTGCTGTTTATATGCGCATAGGGAATTTGTAAGGAACCTTCCTAATTCTCGAAGTAGTTTGTGGCAAATTTTGTACGATCGTTTCAGCTGATTCAATTTATAACGTACCAATGGAATTCAAATCACTTATAATAGTAAATTTTTCGAATTTTCTGTAGTAAGCCGCTCAACATGATGTTGAGCTAGAGCAATTCAATCTAATTTTAGCGATACATTCC